GCCACGGCACTGTAGCCCGGGCAACAGAGCCAGACTCATCTCAAAATAGGAAAAAAAAACCAAAAACAATGGCACGAAAGACAACACAAAGGCAAGGGGGTTGTTCCAGATTAAAGGAGACTCAAGAGACCTGACAACTAAACGCAACATGGAATCTTTCAATCCTGGATTAAATTTTCAAAAGACTCTAAGGGACATAACCGTACCAGGACAACTGGTGAAACCTGAAAATGGACCATGCAATAGAAAACACCGTTTTATCGACACTCAACTTCTTGGTACGACGGCAGCACTGTGGTTACGTCGGGAAACGTCCTCGTTCTTACGAGACACACGCTGAGACACTTACACGTAAAGTGTCGTGACACTTAACCAAGTCTCTCTGCAGACACACACACGTGTACACGCTCTCACACGTGTGTATCTACGTGAGCATGTGGGTGACAGAGGGAGGGAGGGAAAGTAAATGTGGCGAGATGCTACCTGATGAATTTGGGTGAAGACAGTGTCAGAATTTTTACTGTACCCTTGAAGTTCTTCAAAATAAAAAGTTGGGGAGGAAATCACAGTTTCTAAATGCCAATGTCGTCACCTAGCCCAGGACCACATTCTGGGGACACTTCTTAAGGAGACTACGTCTTATCTTTTCATAAGACGACAGACAGACCTGCAAATTATATTATTTTTAGAGTACTTATAGAGTATTTGGTCAGACGGATGTTAAAAATCAGATTTGTGAATCAAGAGGAACAAAATTTGGACTTTCACGTCTTTGCGTGGGAGGCCTCGGAGGTGGCTGCGTCGGTCACGGCTCGACCTCACCTGGCTTTGTCCAAGGTCTTCTGCTCCTCAATCTTCTGTTCCGCGTCCTTCTCAGCTCGATGCGAGACTCCTGTGTTCTGTTTGCTCCAGACACTTGGTTTCTACAGAATAATTTGAAAAGATAAAACAGAACCACCACGTGACTGCAGAAAAATCTCTACTTGTGCTTCATAAAAAAGGCGACCCCTAGATCTCACGAATCGATGGCGATAACCAGATCTTCTGCCTGCTGACTCGTGTCCTACACGAAGACGGAGCGAGTTGGGACTGAAAAAAAGCTCTAAATTGCACAAAGGATTTCTTTACGTGACAGCGTAGGGTTATTGCTCTATCATCTTTTCTCTCCTGAACGATCGCAACCCTAAGCCAAGACTCTAACGGGAACATACGTACTGCAGAGAATTAGTAACACCGACCGTAGACGCCAATACCCATAAAATTCAAAAACCATCCACCGCTCTTTAAGACGCTGATGCTTTCTGCTGTATTTCTATGCTATATGATTGTCTATCTCTGTTTGGATACACAGAACCTATGGAACCAGATAATCTGCCACGAGAATGTAAACAATCCACTTATGAATAACATGTTCTTTTCCAAAATAAGTGCTAAAGAATCAAAGTACCAAAACGTGCTTTTAAATAACCTTCCTAATTTCTACTTCAATACCTAAAACATTTCATGCAAACGTTCACATATGCAGATTTTCCCTTAACATTTACATATACAAATGCCATTGACAATCTAAAAAAACTTAGGTATGGCGTGATTGTCCCATGTTTGGAATCCACAGAGATAATTAGATCTTATTTTTACCTTATTAGTTGTTTTCGGTTTCCCAAAAACTCCAGCATCTTTCAGAAGTTTTTCTTGCTTGAACTCCTCTTGTTTCCGGAAGAGTTCGGCCTTGAGATCTACCAGCTAGAATGACGGCAGTAAGTAAACAAAATCATTTTAATCAATTGTCACGGACGATTGGGTTGC